TCGGCGCATAGTGCCATGGATCATGTGGCTTATTCATATGCATGGCGCTCGCAGTTAAATCCGAAAATTCATAATACATTTCACGCAGGGGGACGTGGCATGGTCTGTACGCAGCGAAGCTCGTTATTATACTATCTATATATTATCAATACTTAGTTTCTATAATCGAATAAATGCCAAACGTTGGTTGTTAGACTCCTATTAGCAATACAAAGTAATACAATGCCCACGAGACCAGGCACCAGATTTTAACTCTATAATATGGGCGGGGGCAAGTGGGGCAGGGTAGGGGGCAAAGGGGGGCAGCGGTAGGGGCAGGAAGTAGCGGACGGAGGGGGCAACGGTGGGGGCAGGATAGGGCAGAGGTAGGGGACGGGGGGGCAAAGGTTAGGGGCAGGTTAGCGGCAGAAGTAGGGACGGGGATATTGAAGTCTTCTTATCGGCCGAGCAGGCACCAATGAGGGCGACGTGGAGAAGTTGGAAGCGATTATCGGGCAATGTGTAAATACAATGTGATCTACTATAATTACATTTCAGTACCGTTGTGACGTGGTACTTTCATACTCGCTTAGTAAGCGGTAATACTCTAGTCTACTTACCCCTTGCGTTAACTTACTCGCTACATGGCTTAAACAATGCACGCGTGCGTTTTCGTACACTGGATAAAGAAATCTGCAACTGGTGGTGGCTCGGACTACTCTGCTTCTTTTCTTGTCGCCAACTGTCTCCTCTTCTTCTCTGTTAAAGGTCTTATGGGCTGGTGACAGGTTCTGGTAGGGGCCAGAAGTCAGGAATGGTGTGTCGGCAGCGTTAACCTGTCGCAGGGCTGGTCTAGTAACGATGGATGTGGCCTCATATCTTCCCGCTCCGGCGGTGGCAACTTGGTAGTGTGATGAATCTTTTTAATGTATAAGTTTTATAATTGCTCTAGTCATTTGTTCATCACGTAGTATATTAATTCTGAATTTAATTGGTGTAAGTGTAAAATGTATATTTATTATTTAAATGTGTCATTGTCTAACTGTCTATGTTTCTTGTTTTATGTTTTTCTATATTTTTATATTTATTAATTTAGTAAATACATGTAAAACGTGAAATCCAGTGGTGTCTAGATCGAGCTGTACACTCGATCGCGGTAGTTCTCTCTCTCCTGTTTGGTTGGCAGTACATGCGAAAAATGCCGGTCGTCTGCCTCGTGGCCGGCCTCTCTGTCCATATGATCTCTTTCTCTCGTGCTGTCTCTTCTCTCCTCTGCTCTTCTCTCTCTGGAGTGCTTTCGACTGTCATGTCTATAGAGTTTCTCTCTCTCCTTTCTCTTCTCTCTCTCTCTTCTTCTTCTCTCTCTAGGGACAAGGGGCTCCGTCTCATTCTCCTTTCTCGTGTTGTCTTTCGCTCTCCAATCTTCTCTCTCTCTCTCTTTCTCCTTTCTTCTCTCTATCTTTCCCTCTTTCTCTCTCTCTGTCCACGTCTCTCTCGTCACAGATTTGTTCGTCTCACTCATATATAGCTGATCTCACTCTTCTACTCTCTATTCGATATTTGTAGGCCGTTTTCTCTCTCTGTCCCTAGCCTTTTGCTCTCATTTCTCTGTCCCTCTTCTCCTTCTCTCTCTCTCTCTCTCCCTTTCTCTCTTCGCCAGGTGTCCCTCTCTCTCGCTTATACATATCATACTCGTCTCGTTGTTGCAGGCATGTGGTCACAACTATCCATGATCTTTGGACTAGGGTCTTACTCTTGTTCGGTCTCCTTCTCTGTCTGTCCGGTCCTCCTCATACCATTGCGTTGCTTCCGTCTCCTCCTGTCAGGTCTTCTTTCTTCCTCTAGACTATTTGGTTATTGTCTCCTGGTCTGCCCGTCCATGGACCGTGCTCTTGGCAGTCTGGTGGGGGTCATCGCGCGCGTGTGGACACACTCACTACACGTGTACTCAATAAGTCAAAATATGCATGCGTGCGGGACTAACTAGCGTCTAGCTAACACATCATTACACTCTACTACACAGCATCTCTACACTAACACATCTACACGTCTTACTAACAGCATCGTACATTCTAACACATCTTCACACTCTCACTAACAGCACTGGTCATAACACATTTGACACCAGATAAATGCCTTACACGTCTGCACTACACAAGTAGTCCTGACTCAACACATCTTTTTACACTCTACTAAACAGCATCTGTACCACGTGATGACACATCTTACATCTCGTACTAACCGAGGCATCTGTACGCTACCTATAAACAAAAACATGTGTTACACCTCTACTATGACAGCATCTACACTAACACAACTTACCACTTACTAGACAGCAGCTACAACTAACACATTCTTTACACTCTACTAACTTGCGTCTACATAACACTCTTACAGTCTACTATCTGCGTCCTACCAACATTAACACAGCTTACACCTGTTACTCACGTGGCATCTACATAACACTCTTACCTCTACGTAACTGCGGATCTCTACACTAAACAATCTTACACTTTCTATCTAACGTTGCGTTACACTGGAAAATAATCGACCTAACAACATTTTGTCTTACTAGGCCTCTAGTTGAACTGCATCTACACTACACATCTCCACATCTACCTAACTGGTCTACACTAACACATCTTACACATCTACTAACTGCAGTCCTACCACTAATCTATATTATCTTCTTACATGTGCGTGCGTGCGTGCGTGCGTGCGTGCTCCATGCACTTAGTTGGCGGTCACAACGATAATTTGCACGCGCACACGCACCAACCATGCATAGCTGAACCCGTGCGTGCTCGTGCGTGCGTGCGTGCGTGCGTGCGTGCGTGATGTTCCCCTTACTTTAGGTGAACGGCTACCTTGCGTCGTAGCAGCGGCAGTGGAATTAATCGTTGATTTATTGGAGAATGTACCACTTATGCGAATGGCTATTATAAGCGTGATCCAATAAAGCCGCACAGCCGACCGGACATGACAAATGCTTGCTAATTCGCGTTTAAATCACGTTCTTCAATAGGTTTATAGATCGCAGCCTTTGTGGCCGCCATGTCACTGTCAGGAAATACACACAGACTGCGACACAAATAACTTGTGTTTAACGCGAGTGCGTGCGCGGCGCATGCTGAAAGCCAACACGCCGGAACACGACACACGGCATTTCTTTGTACAAATCTTACCGAGACCCTCTAATTAAAAGCACTAATTGCCCTTATCGATTCCTTTAAGGTTTGGCCAAGCGTCTCTCTCTCTCGCTCTGTAGGAGGGAGCCCCGGCTAGAAGATGCTCGAATAATATTGGGAACAGATATATTCGTAGCCGTAGCTATGGTAACGCTATAGTAGCAAGATATTATTCATGTGTGAAAACCAATTTAGGGAAAAAACGCAGTTTCTGCTCAGTTACTTCTCTCACGGCAGAACAGTTTCGCAAAGCATCGACGTCATAATATGTCATGTAGTAATAATCATAAAGCCACACTATACCGCGGGATCACGCGCACACGGTGTTTTATGACGTTAAAAGGTCAAGTATATCATCAAGTTCACGTCTATCACTCAAACTCTCGGTCTTTTCACGTAGTTAGTACAACCTGAGATGCTTGCTTGGCGGAGCTATAGATGATGTCAGGCAGTGGCGAGTAGCAGACGACCGCTGCTTCTCTCTAATTGCTTTTGTTTACGCGCGCGGTTGCGGACTCGCAGACGATCGATGCGCCAGCGTGCAGTCACGTGACCCGACACGCGGGCAAATGTGCTTAAACGACGCAATTGGCACAATTTCCTCGACTTCCGCTGAGCGAGCACAGGTAATCAGCTTTTTAATTACCTGCTCGCAACTCTTTGGAATATCAGGTGTGCCTCTCTGCTCACCTCGCCTTCTGTCCCACCCCATTGATCAGACATGACATTCAATATCGGGACGCGTAATTGGCACATCTATACATACGATGCACACGCGTCATGCGTGCTCGTCTGAAAACAAGCTACCGGTGCCTGTGCGACGACTACGGATGTGAAGCGATCGATAATCTCAGGATGAAGACACACCGGGGTGTCAGTCAGCGATATGTTTACCGGCTCATTGTAGACGCATCAGCGGATATCATTATATTTCAAACCTCGTCGCGTTAACCAGAACATACGGGCGCCACTTGAAATGACGACGGCGGCCACGTTCTGATGTAGAGCTGACATCGTTCTTCTTGATTAGTATTTTATAGATGGGATCTGATTTTCTAAGGGTGTTTTCATAGCAATGGCAATATGAGCGCACGCGAATTTTGATAGGTTTTGGCTTATTATATAGAACTGCTGTAAGACGAGGTAGGGCCTATACATAGTATCAAGAGTAGATAATAGGAAATGTATATCTCCTATTATCTACTCTTGATAGTATCAGGAGTCTATCAATATACATATATAATCAATATATATGTATATTCAAATTATATAATCAATATATATATATCAATATTGATAGACTCCTGATAGTATATATATAGAGAGGTCGCTAGCTCACAGTAACACCACCTGTCTGTCGTTTATAAATCGCCGTATGATTTGATATGATATGATCGCCGAACTATTGCTATGCATTCTTCTACTTATTATAATAATATACTAAGTTACGCTTAGAAATTGCTATATAGTTTTCAACTATTAGCATGTACTTATTATAATACTAAGTTACGCTTAGAAATTGCTGTATAGTTTTCAACTACTAGCATGTACTTATTATAATACTAAATTACGTTTATAAATCGCTGTATAGTTTTCAACTATTACCATGTACTTATTATAATACTAAATTACATTTATAAACCGCTGAATGATCTCAACTATTACAATGTAATTATTATAATACTAAATTACGTTTATAAATCGCTGTATTATCTCAACTATACTCATCTACTTATTATAATACTAAATTACGTTTATAACCCGCTGAATGATCTCAACTATTACCATGTCTACTTATTATAATACTAGACGTATAAATATTTCTGGCCTTACCTGGATTCTGTCCTCGGGTAGGTCGGTCCGGAGCGAGAGCAGTTCTCTCGCGTACACATCCGGGTAGTGTGCCTCTTTAAATGCTTTCTCCAACTCCTCCAGTTGATAACTCGTGAATATCGTCCTACAGACAAAACATTACACGAGTTCAAAACAAAAACATGCACGCAAAAACATTCTAGATGCCTGCGAATGTAATCACTCAAGATGCCAAATGAAGGAAACCGCTTAAACGAGATTGATTTGTCTTCGTTTAAGTTATTCCCTAGAGACGAATAAATACGGGAATGAAAATTCACGCCAGATTGAACTGTTCGTTGATTTTCTTTGTAGGCGGTTGTGTGTACTAGCTTTATTCGTAAATAATATATGTGCGACTGCTGCGTTTTTCACCTCTATAGACACAAACAGCGATCATCAATAAGGATGCGGTTTATACGTATCTGCTTATACGTATACCTAGCTGGCACATCCCCACAATATGCCGCCTCGTGCCAAAGAGTCATCGCAAGCTATGTTGACATCCATGTTTTCCATTTGTCTGAAAGTTTTACCCGCGTATCTAAGTAATCCATTTATGTGCACTCGGTTGTGTAAGAGGCAATATAGCGGGGAGACCAAAGGTTGTCTCTCTTCATCTTCTGTGGCTTTTATTTAATTACTACTGGACTTGCTTTGAGTGGCAAAGCGTGCGGGGCGAAAGGGTGAAAGCATTCGTCGTCTGGAAATTGCATTTAGATCCTCGCTTTATCTTATCTGGACATTAGCTGCTGTGCTTTCAGTGTTCGGAGTTCTGCCACGAGGAAATCGAATTAATTTTCTTATGCACTTTCCGAAGTGTTTAATAGAAGTAAGGACCAATTTTGCCAATAACAATTTGTCTAAGAGGCCGCGGGTGACCAATGAAACGGCTCCATGTTGACACTATCGCAATGTGTATAACAGAAAGGGTTGCGTATCGTCGGCTTGCCTGCTAGATGGAAGGCAGTGCTGCGACGATGGCGAATTCCTTCACCACGTTGTAGACAAAGGGATGCGGTTTGTCTGCTGGTTAGTGGATGCCGTACAATCTGCCTGCTGGCTTTTATCACCGGTAGCATGCGTTCTACTCGTCTGTTGTTATGCAGGAAATTAACGTGTACCTTCCTGTTTAGGTGCAGACATCAACGAGTGTGGTCGCATAAAACAGTAGTACATTATGTATCTAATAAGTTTCACAATTAACTGGGACAATTACACACTCATGGTACTGGACACCGCCTCGCCCATGAATGCCGTCATGTCTGGCTCGCAGGATACCGTCTCAGATGAACGAGCGCACGCCGATAAAACCCTCACAACAAAGCTTCTCTTCCGCAAAGTAATTAGTAACGTACGACGGGTTATTTCTAACGAGTATTTTTTCTACACTAATTTAGACGCTCGACGGTAATTAAACGCAAGCCTCGTTAACAAAGCCTTGTAACTGATTGTGTTTCTTCACGGTTGCCTCTTAATTAGGCATTAGTCCCTGTAAGCGCGATATTTCCTATTTAGGGAAACCAGTAGGCATTTACTCTGCATGCGCGCTGCGAGCTACAATAAGGAGCATTGTTAGGCTGCGAGCACGCAAGAAGTCACGTGCTATATCGCACAGCGCGCGCGGTACGCGTACATTATTATAAATAACAGCTCGCACACCAACGGAATACGGGGGTTATAAACGCGTGCGGCGACCACAAATTGCCAACTAAATAATTGCCACATTCATGAAATTGTTCTTTTATGCAGTCGCGTTGCATCGAACTTCGGCGTGCGGAATAATTATATTTAGTTTTCGCAATTTATTAGGGTAAGCATTCATCTGAAATATGTTCAGCTTTCTCGCACATTGTTATATCTGTCGACGTTGTTACACGTTGGAGATGTTATCTTGTTCTACATTACAATTCGCCGAGTGGTCGGTGCATAGTGATGATCATGTGGCTGTATTCAATGCATGGCCTCGGTTTAAATCCGAAAATCATAATACATTTCACGCAGGGACGTGATGTGTACGCAGGAAGGTTATTATATATCTATATATTATCAATTTAGTTTTATAATCAATAAATGCAAAACGTTGGTTGTTAGACTCCTATATGCAATACAAAGTAATACAATGTGGATGAAGTTGTAAATACAATGTGTCTACTATAATAATTAGTACCGTTGTGACGTGTTACATCTCCGCTAGTAAGCGACACATACTTGGCGTGCGTACATGGAAAAATGCACGCGTGCGAGCGTACATGGAAAAATGCACGCGTGCGAGCGTACATGGGAAAATGCATGCGTGCGTGCGTACATGGAAAAATGCATGGGTGCGTGCGTACATGGAAAAATGCTTGCGGGCGTGCGTACATGGAAAAATGCATGCGTGCGTGCGTACATGGGAAAATGCATGCGTGCGTGCGTACATGGAAAAATGCATGCGTGCGTGCGTACATAAAAAAATGCATGCGTGCGTGCGTACATGGAAAAATGCTTGCGTGCGTGCGTACATGGGAAAATGCGTGCGTGCGTGCGTACATGGAAAAATGCTTGCGTGCGTGCGTACATGGGAAAATGCGTGCGTGCGTGCGTACATGGAAAAATG